CAGGGAATGGTTCCCACTGCCAAAGGGCAGGGCTGGATGGGATATAAAGGAGAAATCATTCCCTGGGAGGGTGGTGAAGCACTGGAAGTTGTCCAGAGCAGCTGTGGCTGCCCCTGGATCCCTGGCAGTGTCCAAGGCCAGGTTGGACATTGGGGTTTGGAGAAATTTTGGGATTTAGTGGAAGGTGTCCCTGCCCATGGATGAGCTTTGAGGTCCCTTCCAGCCCAAACCATTCCATGATTCTCTACAGACTGTGGAGTGATGAATGAGCCATGAATGTCTCTAAATGTCTGGTTTTGTTTCTTTAGGACATTGAGCTGCGAGTTAAGTGGCCAAATGACATTTACTACAGTGACCTGATGAAGCTCGGTGGAGTTCTGGTAAACTCAACACTCATTGAAACAACATTTCATATTCTCATTGGTAAATGTCTATTTTGAAGCTTTTCTGTGCTGCTTTTTTTTTTGGTTTTTTTTTTTTTTTCTGGGGGATTTTGTTATCAGTGTCTGTATCAGTAAAAATGGCAACGACGAGAACAAATAATGACAGCAGGCATAAGGAAAGAAAGCACAACATTTAATCCAGAGGAAGCACAAAAAGTAAATGTTTTCATTCTTCTTAATAATTCCATATGCTTGACAAGTAAAACATCAATGCAAGCATCTGGATTGGTGCAGTAGAGTTCAAAGAAAGAGCATTGCATAGGAGAGGGAAATTGTCCTCTTTGATTTATTGCAAAACCAGTGGAATATACTGAAAACTCCATCCTTTTTTTTTCCAATTTATGTATTTTTTGTAACATGACAAATAGTTAAATGAAGAACATGCCTTTTAAATCAGAAGAAGAGCTACATGCACAGAATAATGTTTTCATTTTTTTAATTATTGAGATGTTTTTATCATCTCTAGTCTGATAATTATCCTGCTCTTTGATAAGGAAGTTTTTCCCCTAATCAGCAGCATCCCAGATCTGCTGAGAAACCTGCCAGATTCTGCTTCCAAAAATAATTGTCTCTGCTGTGTCTAAAAAATGGAAAGAAAATTCCTTAACAAATCTGAAAGGGTAAAGAAAAGGTGATATTTGATATTTGAATTTGGCACAAGTAAAGTGTCCTGCAAAGATGAGTGGTCATGATGTTGTTTCTATCAAAATTCTGTGATTTTAGAGGTGCAAGCAAGAAAAGAGTTGAAGAAGTCACCTCCTTCTGTGAAACATGCCCAGACATGACATTTTCTTGTTCAATTTTATACTTTCCTTTGGTAAATAATCGACATGAACACAATGGAAATTGCACCAAAACTTAAGAAATTTCTCTGTGCCCCATCAAGCATTTACAGCTTCAGTGTTTTCCTGCAGGCTGGTTAACACAAGGAAACAGAAATATTTCATTCTATCAAGCATCTCTTAAGCACGTCACTTATTTGTGAATTTTTGGACCTTTTGATTTTTACCCTAAATATCCAAATATTCCAGTTCAAATGGAGAGTTTCTGTATCCATTCTCTCTGATATCCATCTGGTAGTCTGAATTACAGATAAATGCCCATTCTCATCAGTCTGTTTTCACCTGGGAGCTTTTAGAATTGAAACTTTTTTGTTCCATATGAATCCAAGGATCTTTTCCATCATTCCAGAGCTGTGGGAGTCCTAGAGGAGCCTCATGACATTTGAGGTTTTGTGTTAGTGGGAGTGATGGAATTCAGCTTCCCCACCAGGAAAGGTGTGGAAAGGTGTGTCAGATCCATCACCCCTTTGCCACAGTCATGCAGGATCCTTTCCTAGACAGAATCTGGAAATTATTGAGGTTGGAAAAGCCCTCCCAGCCCATGGAGTCCCAGCTGTGCCCCATGGCCACCTTGTCCCCAGCCCAGAGCTCTGAGTGCCACCTCCAGGCACTGAACTCGCTCTTTCCATGGCATTCCTAAGAATTTCCCCTAAATGAGGATAATGATGAAAATCAAAGATCATCTCTGTGGCTTCACTGCTCCAAGAAGAAGCTCGGGAGAATAAGATCAAAGACAAACCTGTGTTTTCACTTGCTCGAGCCTTGCAGTTGAGCTTCATGCTGAGACTTTTAAACGCAGTTTGGGGGGAAAAAAAAAAAAAAACAAACTACCAAAAAACCCATTTTTTTCCCAATCTGAAGTTTAAAATCGAGGAACTTTACGGTGTTGGGACTTCTGGAGGAGGAGTTGTGAGGAGAATATTCCCCATTAATGTGAGGGCCAGACTCGGAGCAGGCAGAGGAGCCAAGCACCAGTGGAATGCAGGGGACAGCCAGCGAGCGTGACCTGCACACGCTCCTCAGGCACGTCCAGCTCCTCATGGATCCACCACTGCAACATCCATCAGCCACATCAGCACTGCAGGGCCACTGCTGAGTGCTCCCTTCTCTCCTGGACACTGCACAGGTGTCCCCAAAGCCCTGAGCATCTCGTGGTTCTCAAATCTCCTGGCTGCCCTTTTTCCCCTTTGTTCATTCCCAGGTGTTGGGGCTTCAGCTGAGCTCCTCAATCCCAGCGTGGCCGTTTTTGTGTCCCCCCCCTTTTTGGATTGCTGAGCAGTGGTCCTGAGGCTGCTGATGGACCCCCTTAGTGGCCACAGTTCTCTCTTCCCTCTCAGTGTATCAGAGTGCAAACAGCTGAGTTGGGATTTGCTGGCACAGCTCTTTGCATTTTCCAGTTCATTTTCCTTTATCTCTTTCCAGTAACCCATTTCAGCTCATTTCCACAGGCCTGCTGTGTTGGGATCACCATGTTTGTCTGCATTCCCTGAGTTGTTAAAAATCAAAAACTCTTTTTTGCTGAAGAGATCCTTCTCCTCAGAGTTAATACAAATTATGAATTATTAATAGCAAATTTACAAATCAGATGGAGCAGCATCGTGTCCAACCCTGATTGACACACAGAGGGGTTTATCCCAAATGTCTGAGGAAAGAAAAAAAAAAAACCAAACCAAATTATTAGGAGGAAAAAAATAAACAGGTAATACAATATACTTCTTTACATCCCTCAAAGCCTGTTTCAGCAGGCTGCAGAAAAGGCCCCAAGAGCCACATTTAAACAAGGGAGGCATTCTGCCAACTCACAATTTGGGAATTCCAGCTGGAGAAATCTCAGCAAGAGGCTTGAGGCTTCTAAAGGATATGCTGTGGTGAGATAGATTAGGCAAACTGGAGTCTTGCAAAGTTAAAATCAAATCTTCTGGGCTTTCCTGAGCAAGCCAAACAAGGCTTATCAGCTGAGTGAAAAGCCTGGATTTTTGGAAAGGGCACTCAGCTCACTGCAGTAAACAGAAAGGTCTCTGAGCTGAATTTTAGACTGGGAGATAAAACTCCATCTTAGGGTAGGATCAGTTGTTCCCTGTGTAAAAGAGGAGAGAAAGAATGTGTGACATGGATGGTTTTGGAACCAAGGTGGAGTTTATCCTCTCCCAACCCTCGCTGATGGGGTGGAAAGGCTGTGCTGGATTTGCCTCTGTAATTCCGAGGAGGCATTTGGAGGGCAAGAAGCAAAATGTGAGCTGAGAATTGTAATTAGAGGAGCAAGAGGATTGAAAGGTGTAAGAGACTGAAGGAAAGCAGCTCTGGGAGCCATCCTGAGGGATAATTGTATGGAGCAGGTGGATTAAATGCTGCCTGTGGTATAACAAAGAGTTTGTCTCTTCGATTGTGTCCTTCTCTTTGTCTCCTGCAGGCTTTGGATTTAATGTGAATAACAGCAACCCCACCATCTGCATCAATGATCTCATTGCAAAGTTTAACAGGGAAGAGGGGACAGAGCTGAAGCCTCTGAGTGCAGATTGTCTCATTGCAAGGACTGTCACTGTGCTGGAGAGGCTCATAGAGGTTTTTCAGGAGAAGGGCCCCAATGGAGTTCTTCCCCAGTACTACAAGTATTGGGTTCACAGGTAAGAATTGTGTTCTTCTCAAAGTTTCTTTTAATAAAATTGGTGGAAGAGCTCATGGATGTTTTGTCTTTTTCCACAAAATTCCCTTTAATAGGGGTGAATAATTTAAAATATGCTCCCAAGCAGGATGCACATTTTTAAGGGACAATTGAAGTAGCACCTAATAAATCAGTGACTAGCATGAGTTAAAGAATGTTTCCAGGTATTTTACATGTATCATCTCCAAACAAAGGGAATTGGGAATGGTTTGGTTTGAGATGGATGAAGCTGCTGTACTTTTAAGGGAAAAAACCGATTGGCTGTTTGGATTAACTCCAACTCCATTCGTTCCACAAAAGGAAATTAAAGCAGGTAGAAAATGCTGCTGAAAGTCATTCTGTGTAAAGAACCAGTGAGGTGGGAAATGAAATATTCTGTTAGAGGGTGAAGCCTTTCCTGTGAGGGTGGGCAGGCCCTGGCACAGAGCAGCTGTGGCTGCCCCTGCATCCCTGGAGTGCCCAAGGACAGGTTGGACACTGGGGCTGGGAGCAGCCTGGGACAGTGGGAGGTGTTGGGGTTGGTATTTAAGGTCCTTTCCAACCCAAACCATTCCATGATTCATTTAATGATTGTGATGAGTCCTCTGAGGTGAGGTTGATGCCTTGGAGTGTCTCCATAAAACAAAGGCTAGACAAGTTTAAGAGAATAAAGTGGGTGTTAATTAAAGGTTTTTAATAGATCCACCTTGGGCAGTTACACCCAGGATGGATGATGGTCACGAGTTTTTCACACAATTAAAAGTTTGGTCCATTTACATATCAGGGGTTAATCCTCCAATTACAGCTTCAGGTGATGAAGTCATTTACCCCCAGTTTGCTCCCCCAGAACTCACTTTTGTTTATACTCTCTGGGGCCTGAGGCTGTAGGGTTTGATGACACTGTCTATGGAGTTTGCACTAATGCAGTGCAGGATTTGAAAAATAAAAAAGCTGAAATCCTAAATCAATTTTACCTTCTCAGTGTCCATGAACTGACAGAATTCTCTCCATCCCAGTGGGAAGCAGGTCCAGCTGCACAGTGAGGATGGCCCCATGGCCTGGATTGTTGGCATTGATGACTATGGATACCTGCAGGTGCACGAGGAGGGCAAGGGCGTGGAGTCTGTGCACCCTGATGGCAACTCCTTTGACATGCTGAGGAACCTCATTGTCCCCAAGCACTGACAGGGAGCTCCTGAGTGCCTGGCACCAGTCACCTCAGCCTCAGTTCAAGGTGGGAATGGGAACTGAAAGTTTGATTTTTTTTTTCCTTCTGATTTTCTGCTTTGTGTTTGCCATGGGTAACTTCAGCAGCTGAAAAGAGGTGGTGACCTCAGAGCTGGTGGCCTTTATTCTTTTCATTAACTTTAAAACACACCTCTGCTGCCATTTCTTTGAAGGATCTGTTCTTTTCAAGGAGTCTGATTGCAGAGGAGTATTTGTGATGAACAGAACTTTCTCTTCATTTACACCCTTGGAGAGACTGAAGTGGCCCAATATTTCCATTTATTTTTTGTTTCTGTGTGATTTAGCATAGTGCAGGACATTATTTACTTTTTTACTTTGTTTTTTTTTTAAAAAAAACCTAAATTCTATTTTTCTGTGTTGTCTGCACTAAAGCCAGCTGGAACATCACATATTGCTGAATTGCTGGGATCACCACTGTGCTTAATTCCAGGTCTGAGTGAAGATCCTTGCTGATTTGGTTCTTCTCCGTGTAGACCTCTACAAAAATTTATCAACCTGTGCTTTGATCTCAGGTCTGCAGCTCTTAATGGCTGCCTTGAGTTTTTGGGAGAGCTTTCCATCAGCACTTAGGAGCTGGGCTTGGTTATCCAAGTGGTTTGCACTCTGCTCTCCTCAGTCACTTGGATCTGAGTAAATCATCTCATCTGTCCTTGAAATCATGGTTTTCCAAGAGGTTTCAACCCCTGGAAGAAAAACCCACTGGAGCAGTGTCACACCCAGGTCATTGTAGAATCCCATCTCAGGGGATGGAACCTCTAAATAATTTAGAATTGAGTGGGAATTATATCATTTTCTCAATGAAGTTAAGTGAATAAATAAAGGGAAAAAATCAAATTCCCTGCTGCAAACAGCTACTCCAGTGAAAAAGAGAAATCACACTGTTCCTCCATGTCCAAATTCTCTTCCACAGCTCTGTTGTCCCCTCCTTTCCTAAGCCAGTGTCTGGTTTTGCTGCTAAGCACTAAAAGCAAGAGTTTAACACGTGCTGAGCTGAGAGCAGCTCATTTTTGGGGCATTTGCAGGTGAAGAGAACAGCTGGGAATTCTCCTGGAGCAGCCACAAGGGAACTTGGTGGGGTTTTCTCCCAAGGAGATTTGGCCACCACAGCTCCCCAGACAATTCTGTGCCAGCCAGGTTTGTCCCAGGTGTGATGTGGCCACCTTCATTTCTTTTTTATCGTGGTGGATCAGCCACACTGGTTTCCAGAAAGGAAACTGCTGTCTGCTAGCCAGAAATGAGGTTTTTTAGGTTAAAGTTCACCTCATAAACCATCCAAACATTTTAGATTGTTTCAGCTCCAAAGCCAAGAAGTCTTGAAACAAGGAAACTTGTCTGTGATGGTAATTTTGACCAATCCTCACATATTAGGGTTTAGGTGGTTTGGCAGCAAGGGTAGAAATTAAATTGTCCCTGTTCAATTTAGGATTTTATGCTCCATCTCACAGAAGATTTGTCCTGATTGTCCAAATCCTGATGGGGTTTTTTTTTTTTCCCCTTATGATCCAAATCATGTGAAGCTGCTCACCAGCATCTCCTAAAACTGCACACACAGAGCTGTTAATTACCATAATTAAAATGATGCACCAAGTTTAGCTTTTCCCCACCTTTCAAAATGCTTTCAAAACTGCTTCGGGCTGAGAACATTTGGCAGCTACCTTTGATATCAGAATTCAGTATTAATGCATGTTTTAATCAACTGAAACTTAAGTCTGGCTTAATAAAGCTTCAATCAAAAGAAGAAACTCTGTATTTATATATAAATCTATAAAAAATGGGTGTGCTCACATTTTCCTGCTGCATCCTCATTTATTTTCTGCCTTTTCCTCCACAAGCAAACTGTGCTGCTGCAAGAGAACAGAGCTCTGGTGCTGCTTTTCCAACCAGAGTTTTACAAAACTTCACCTTAACCCAGAATTTGTAGTTAAAACTGTCTCAGATTTAGGATTGAGCACCTTTTGGGTTTTGTTCATGAACAGCCTGGTCGTGCCACAAGGCTGGGGCTTGAGTGGCTTCCTTAAAACTTCTCTTAAAACTTGCTAAAACTTTCTTCTCCCTTCACCAGGGACAAAAAAAAAGATGGGGAAAAGAAAAAAATATGAGAATTTTGGAAGGGCAGAATGAGTTTGTAAAGCTCCAGTGGCTGAGCAGCAGCAGAGGGATTTTTTAACAGCAAAATTCTGCAACATTTCCTGGTTGGTGTTGGTCCTTTTGTAGCTGCCTTAATGATGGTTCTGTTCCCACTTGGAGTTGTCAGGTTATTCCCAACATTTTTGCAATGGGAAGAAACTTGGAGTGGAATTTCCTGGCCATGAAGGAGAACTCCCCAAACCTGGGTGTGCCAGAGCACAGTGGGAGCTGGGGGAGCCACTTTGCCTTTTCAGTGGCCTCTTCTGGTGCCTCAGACTTCCAGCCTGGATTTGGATTTGGATTTGGATTTGGATTTGGATGAAGGATTTGTTGCTTTCCCTTCAGAAGAACCAAAGACAAGGAGAGCTCCCATGGCAGGAGGAGCAGCTGGGTAAAATCCTTGTGGATGAGTCCTTGGAGAAGCCCCTGGCTCTGGCAGGTAGATGGGAGGAGGCACAAGAGTCTCACTCTTGCTACCCCCAGAAAGCCACAACATTTTTGCAGGAAAATCCTCGTTTTTCTTGTTCTCCATGTGTGTGTGTGTGACAGACAAATGTGGTGTGTGGGGTGTCCCTGGATGTGGGGATGGAGAGATCCAGGCAGCTCCAGGCCTAGGAATAATGCACTGAAAAAGTTTCATTTCATTCAGCTGTCTGGATTAGTAAAACACCTCTTCCATTGTGAGGCTGAGGTCATATCTTAAACTATTTTCTTGATGAAGTGCTTTCAAAAAACCCATTTGTTATGATGTTCGTATTTCTGTGACTTCATTTTTTTTTTATATATATATATATATTTTTTTTTTCCTGCTGGGCTCTGGTAGAACATTTCTCATGGTGAAAACATTTGTGGGGGTTGTTTATTGATAGGAAAATTTCTGGGTGTGTTGGCACGTGTGTGAGTCCAGGGTGGGTCGTGCCCAGTCAGCAACAAAGCTGCTTCCAAAGGTTTGAAAAAGTAATAATGTACTTTACATTTCAGAGTCCAGGCAGCACATCCTGCATTATAAAGCTTTTATAAGACTTCAGAGCTTTTTTTTCTTTTTTTCTTTTTTTTTTTAATATATCCAGTAAATCAAGGGCTATTACCTGGAAATAATATTAAAGCATTTAATTCTTTATGCTGCTGCTTCACTGTGCAAAAATTCGTTTCTTTGCTTCCTCTTGATTCAGCTGCATCAGCAGCCTGAAGAAAAAATTACTTTTTGCAACTCCTTTGGAGCTGTCTGTAATCAAAATATCTGTCATGGGAAAGATTTGTGCTGGTTCCTGGGGATAACTGGTTTGATAAAAACATTTGCATGTCTAAGTGGTGGTGGGGATGCACTGCCTTGATCAGACACCAAAGAAATTAAATCTGGGCCCAGGAAAGAGCAGAGGTCAAAAAACGATGGAGAAAAGAGAACTGCAGGGAAGAATTGTCAAGTGTTGAGTATCTCATTAGTGATTCTGTCTTATTTGCATTTTCCAAGGGTCTTCATTTAAATGCAGTGTCTTCATTTAAAATGCAACATGGCAAAAATACAATAAATTTAAAAAAAGAAAGTCTGTGTGTGTTTTGTAGTACATTAATTGTCAATTCTAGAACGTGTCACAGTCGAAATAAATTTTCAAATATGCACCAATGTCCATTGTGAAATACTTTGTTTCCTATTTTAAAAAAAAAAATAAGAGAAATTCAACTCAGTTTTCCTTTGGCTACAGGATTTTATTAACATTTTAACAGTTTCGTTTTACATAATAAATAAGCAAAAATGCTTTACATTTTTTTAGGGAATACATATATAATTCTGAGCATGAATAGGTTGGTTGGGTTGCGTGCTTCTTCACCTACACTTGCCAAATAGCTTTTATCTGCATCATATTAAAAAAAAAAAAAAAAAAAAAAAAAAAAAAAATCTAACCTTCAGGAAAAAAAAAATAAATGGAATAACAACATTTCCTCTGTGGCCTTTTTGAAGTGTGACTGAAATGCTGAAAAAAAAAAAAAAAAAAAAAAAAGAATTTATGTCCTGTCTTGAGATTCCTGGAGGAATTCTGGCAGATTTCCCATTCATTGGCACTTTCAGTGATGAATTGCCCAATTTTGCACCTATTGTGCTGAATTTCCTTAAATTAAATTTTCAAATCACAGGGCACAGAGACCTGGGGACAAATCTGTGCCTTTATCACCTTATTTGATTTCCATTGCACTGCTTCCAAAACTAAATGTGGGATTCACTTTTCCAGCTTTACCTTGGTCTGCTGGAAGATTCCCTGCCTGGCAGGGGGTTGGAATGAGATCTTTAAACTCCCTCCCAACCCAAATTTTCTATTATTTTGGTAAAACTTTGCCCCTTTCACTCTTTTTCTTTCATTTTCCATGATTTTCTTGCCAGGTCTGAACTCCCCTGAGAGTTAAAAATCTTGTGAAGTCTCACGACAAAGGTGTGGCTCAAATACTAAAAAAAAATGAGTTTATTTTTCATAATGTATTTCAATTCACATTCCGCTTCAGTGGCATCTTTTTTTTTCTTTTTTTCATTATTAAAACAATTTTTCAGTATTAAAGCACTGCCACTATGATGGCAGTGCCCTGTTCTGCCCTATGATCTGTAATTTAACTGCCCACAAATCCTATTTTTCTCCCAATGTAATTTACTCCCAGATGGGAACATGGAATTGCTGTTTAAATCTTGGGAGTGCCAGGAAAAAAAAAAAAAGTTAAAAAATCCTTCCAACGTTTGCTTTTGCCATCTTTTCTGCACCTTCCCCTGCATTATCAGCTGTGAATTCATAATTGGTTCATTATTGCCTCGCAGGGAAATTTCCTGTGCTTGGGCATCACCTCCCCTAAAACACCTGGGGGAGGATGATGGAACACCTCCTCTGCTCAGGCTGCTGGAATAAAGCCTGGAAGTGGGAATAACAAGGTGGAAAAATATCAAGGTGAAAAATGTCAATGGTGTTTTTTTGGGGTTGTATTTTTTTTTTTTATTTTTTCAAGCAAAGCCTAATTTTTGTGTTTTTATAGCAAGCAGAACTTCCAGGAACACCAAAATGCAGCAGTGCCACTAATGAGGGAGAAAGTGCAGCAGGAGGGGTTGGGCATCAGGTTTCTTTTTAATGATGCCAACCATGCCAGTGGCTCCTTTGTAGGGCATGGGTTTAATTTAATTGAACAAAATTAAGCCAGGAGTCTTGGCATAATTATCTTTTCAGGAGTTTGGGGTCGTTTATGAGGAGCAGGGGCTGGGAGGGCTCTGAACCACAGCCACTGGAAAAGCAACTGGTGTCTCCTGGCTTTGATTTATGGGGTCAGCATGATTGTAATCCACATTTACAGCTTTTCTGGAGCCTTGCCAGCTTCTCCAGCATTGAACAAACCGAGGTTGCTGAGGGAGTCACTGTGCTGGTTTGGTTCTGTTTTGGCTTTTTTTTGTAATCACTGATTTGGCTTTTTTTTTGGTTCTGTTCAGCACAAAATGTATTTTTCGTGCAATTGGAAACGACAACTGAGAGTGTTCAGATCAAGTTCACTTTCAAGTGAACATGAATTTGACAATAAAGCCTTCTCTGTTAACCTTTGATAGGAAGCAATGAAAAAACATTCTGAAAATTGTTTTCAAGCCTTTGCTTTTAAAGTATTTTCGTGTACTCACAGCAATCAGTATTCATACACAGAAGGAAATAACTTGATTACTGTATTCCAGTGGAAAGTTCCCTGCCCATTTCAGGGGCTTGGAACTGGATGAGCTTTAAGGTCCCTCCCAACCCAGACCATTCTGGGGTGAATTATTGCTGCATAGGAAAGATGGAGAATGTGGCATTTTTAGGACTGACTATTGCATTTTGATTTTTCTGACAAGGTGCAATCCATGAACAAGTGTTTTTTTCCCCTATTACAAACCAGGTAAGAATTTTCTTCAGAGAATCATGGAATGGTTTGGGTTGGAAGGAACCTTAAAGCTCATCCAGTTCCAAGCATGGGCAGGGGACCTTCCACTATCCCACGGTGCTCAAGGTTTTCCAGTGAAGTTCTCTTGAGAGTCTGATGAGAGAAAGTTTGAAAAACTCTGAATTAAGCTCAGATTGGGGTAAGAAATGGAGCTGAGTGGGATCTAGAGCCACATTTATTGTTTAGGGAGCCTTTTGTTGTTTTATCCTCTCACAATGTTCGGGGAAGTGGCTGAAAACCACCGTGGGCTGAGTGTTGTCACACAGATCCATCCTCTGCAAAGAATTCAAAATAAAGGGGGGAAAATAATTCCTGGCTGCCCGGGCTGAATGTGAGTGTTCCAAATGTGCTGTTTGGGATTTGTGAAGTGCTCAAATCAGGGAATTCCAGCCCTACCTTTGTGCTGACAACAGGATTTATGCTGGAGGAAGTTCAGTGTGTTAAGAGCTGGACCTTTCAAAGCTCACAGTTCTACTGGTAAGTTCAAAATAAGGCATAAATGTTCATTATTCTCTTGACTATAAAGCAAACATTTCTGGTGCTGTTATTAAGATGTATTTGTGACTGGCTGGGTTGAAAATCTGCACAGGCTTCCCCCAGAATACTCAGGGAAACACAGGATTTAGGAGTTTCCTTTTCTTATTTGTGGGGAATTAGTTCCTGCTCCATAATTTGTCCCAATTTGCCATGACAAGACCTGTAACCCTGTAATACCTATCTTTGTACCTATTAATTTGTCATATTGTCCCTTGTCAAGATAAATGGTGGTGGCAGCAATCTCAGAACACTGAAATCTGTGTTAAATAAATCAAATTTCGGGTTGATTTATTTAGTTTTAAAGCTTTTTGGTAATTAATAAATAAGCTTTTTTTCTGTTTGGGTAGGACAGCTGTGTTGTGGTTGCTCAAAATCACCACACTCTGAACAAAGTTCATTTGTCAGGGGGTTGGGGGGAGAGTTGATGTGAGGTTTCACACAATTTGTCAAAAAAACCCCTAAACTAGAATGCATATTTTATGATAATGATTTAGGAAAAAAAAAAAATCTTGAGTTTATTTTAAAGAGGGGTCAAGGAAAAACAAAAATGTTCTTCATATAAACCTCTGCATATAACACCTCTCGTTTCCTTTTGCTGCACACTATAAAATAACAAAAATAAGATCTGGAACTTGGCTTCTCCCTGGCACCAGAGCTTTACGTGGGACCCCCGAAGCACGGCAGGGGACGGAGGGGATTTTCCTCACCACTCACTTTGTCCCTCACTGCCCTCCAGCTTTGCTCAGTAAATGTCACCGTGTTTCCTCACGCTTTTGTTTGTTTGTTTGTTTGTTTTGGGTTTGTTTTTTTTTTTTTTTTTTGTTGTTGTTGTTGTTGTTTTGCAAATCATTCCAGTTTGGCTTCCGAATCAAACGCAAAACCCCGCGCTGCTGCCGTCACCTGCCGTTGGCAATGATGACAGAAGTCCCGATGTAATGGGGGAGTGCAGATTCCTTGTGGCTCTCTGGCGAGGAGGCCGACGAGGGGCTTTGGTTTTTGTAGATGAAGGCGTTGACGTCGTCGGGGCTGTAGGAACAATTGTCCCCAGCGTGTGCCGTGGCCGTGCAGGGCGAGGCCTGGAAAGCTCCGTGCTTGGCCAGCACGTGGTGGTAATTGAGGAGCACGAAGGGCACTTGGCCCGAAGGCCTCACCTCCATCAACCCCTCGGCCCCGTGGTCCAGCTTCATCCTTTCGCCCTCCAGCTCCTCCAGGCTGCCCGGGTGATGATGGTGGTGGTGGTGGTGGTGATGGTGGTGGTTGATGTGCCCAAATTTGGGGTCTTTGACACAAATCCTCCTGCCCTGCTCGTAGACCGAGGGCACGGGCAGCAGGTGGCTCAGCTGTCCCACGGCTTTGGCCTGGCAGCACTCGGATTTGGGCAGCAGCGAGTTGGAGAAGGAGCCCTCGTTGATGCTCGTTTTTTCTTGCAGGTCTCTGTGGAAAGCCAGCTTGGTTTCCTCTTTGATGAGGTGGGCTGGGGGTTGCAGCCTGGCCTCGGGTTTGTTGTGTTTCATGATGCCAGAGTCATAAAATTCCTCCTTGTACCTGCCCGGCACCGGCGCCGTGCAGCTCGGGAAGGCCTCGGGCGCAGCGTCCTGGTTGTACCTCCTGTTGGACAGTGGGACTGCCAGGGGAAATAAAACGTGTTAATTACTGACAACGAGCCTTGGGAGTAATTACAGCTCACTGGTGTTGTCATCATAGTTAAATCAGGGGAGTTAAACCAAAGAAACTTTAGCAACGACAACCTGGAATCAAAAATCTTCCCCTTAAATAAGCTCTTTCCAGAGATTTATCAAAGGAATTACTGAAAACTGAGTAACTTTGCTACCTATCAATGATTCCATGATTAAAATACTGGAATTATTTTAATCATATAATAATAACCAGAAATAAACTGAGTGCATTGGACACTTGTCCTGCAAGGAGAGCAACTCAGAGGTTGGACTCAGTGATCTCAAAGGTCTTTTAATTCTACAGAATTCTGTCGATTCTGTAATTCATGGTATTTATTTGGGGTAGATTTAATATCTAGATGAGATACTAGAAGGTGACATGTCATTATCTAATTAATGAAATCTCTCTGTGATACCCAGAGTGGGTCACGTTACAGGCTTTGCTTTTTCTCTTTGAAAAGCTGACATCAGATATTAAAAACATGTCTTGAAAAGCAACACAAACACCTCTTCAGCAATGCTGGATCTCTGCTTTTAAGGTATTCCCATGTAATAAAGGTAGATAATGATAAAAGTGCAGGTTACAACATTGAATGGGGGAGAAAAAATTGGGTATTTTTAGGGACTCAAAAGCCAGATACTTAATTTTTCAAGGTTATGAGCCTAGGATGTCTATTCAGGCTTTTCCTCTAAAATATATTGGTCAGTCTCACTTTTCTCCTCAGTTTCTGCATGGCAACTGAACCCTTGAAGCAATTGAGTTATTTTTACCATTTTCTGCTTGGCTTATGAAGCTTTTCCTTTCTGTAAACTCCTATCTACAAGTGGTGAGAAAAAAGGCCCCTGGTTTTCTCCTGTACCATATGAGTAATAATTTTTTTGCACTCTCCTATGAACAGTTTGTGAGTTAAACAGCTCCTCCAAGGCACATTTGAAAGTTTTATGTTAAAGGAAAAATGACACACTGAGCAAATTTCTCAAGTTAGACCCAAACTCTTGTTTTGTGTGAGGTTCACTGGAAGCCCTGGACACTTAAGTGCCTTTTTTGAAATGGATTTTCTGTTTTTCTAACGATTTTATTCAACATCTTAAAAGTTTTGGAGTTCCCCTCTATTGGTTGCTGATGTAACTGTGCCCATTAATAATTAAATATTCCCTGTGCTGTAATAGACTGGCAAAGCCTTCATGGATAACAGAGGAAGCAGAAATAGCTCAATTGTACATTTTTTTTTAATATATATGCAGAGCTCCATTAATTTCAGAGGGAGTTGCACTACGTAATTAACACCAGAATTTAAACAGCAATCTGGTTCCAATTTCTTCTTCACCCTCCCAGAAACAATAACCTTTCAAGTTATTCTTTCCCATTTCTATGTACATATTTTGTCACAAGAAGCAGAAGCTGAAGGACGCTGGTGAAAAAATGGCCCTTTCAGATCACAAATCCAACAAGGGTTCAGCCACGTGCTTGGGAATTTTACTGGTGGAGTTCAGTGCTCTGATTTTAACTCCACATTTGGTGATTTCGTTGTGAAATAAATAGAGATGCTGAGAGCTAGTGACATCTGAATAATATGGTTTAATGATCAGGTGTTCTGGGTTTGAGGTGCCCACAAGAGGCATGGATTTGTCCTCCTGCAGTTTGGGATATTTTCACTTTATAGTTCTTTAATCTCTGAACAAAATATTGTCCTTTGCCATTTTTAGAGCCCAAGAGAACTTGGAAGAAGCTGAGGCATCACAGCCACCAGTTGGCCTTTTTAAATTTTGTAATCTCCAATCCTGCTGAGCTGAGGATGAACCATCAGGTTGTAAATCACAGAATTACAGAAGGTTTGGGGTGGAAGGGACCTCAAATCCCACCCAGTGCCACCCCTGCCATGGCAGGGACACCTCCCACTGTCCCAGGCTGCTCCAACCCCAATGTCCAGCCTGGAACTGAACATTGCAGGGATCCAGGGGCAGCCACAGCTGCTCTGGGGACCCTGTGCCAGGGCCTGCCCCCCCTCTGAGCAAAATATTTCTTCCCAATCTCTAATCTGATCCTTCCCTATGGCATTTTAAAACCATTTTCCCTTGTCCTGTCACTTTCTGCCCCTATAAAAAGTCCCTCACCCTCCTTTTTATCAAACAAAGCAAAGATAGAACAGGTCTTAATACAGCCCCTGCCCAGGAAAAGAAATTTTTTAGATTATCTCACTCTGTGTTTGTCCTGGTCTGAATATTAATTTCAAATCACCCAAGGCATGAGCTGATTGTTCTCTATTATTCTCCCTCCAAAAACAAAGGTGAGACACAATGATCTCCCAGACCTCTTTGTCTCCAGGAGAATTCCCTGTGCAAAATGTCATTTCCTTCTTCCAGTAGGCACCAGCTAAACCTGGGCAGTTTTTGCACAGATTTTCTCTGTCTTTTTCCTCATTTCCTGTGTTTTGGCACAAATTCACACAGGTAGCTCAGAAGGGCCAACAGCACCACTGAGTGACCAGGAGGTCCTGTGGTGCCCACAGCAACAATTTCAAAGGTAAAAAGGAAACTTCTAACTAAGAATACTGTTGCCTTCACTGAAATGAATTTTTTTTTTTTTGATGACTGGGCCAGCTGGGAAAAAAAAAAAAAATGGAAGAAGCTTCAAAACCAGATCCTGAAGCAGAAACATCTGATTTGCAGGCAGTTGTATCTGCTACGTGCTTCTTCAGAGCTTTGATGGCTTGGCACGATCATCCTCCCAATGTCTGATCTCTCCAAAAGGAGCTATTTTCCATGGAGAAAAATGTCTTTGGCCCACGGGGTTTTTGGCAGATGCTGCCGTGGGTGTGATGTGGAATAGCCCTCGCATCCAAGCCGGCTGCCAGATGTCAGATTTGGCTTTGCCTTTGGATCGAAGACGATGATGCTAAGCAGATCCTCCCTGCTTTGAAGCTCCCTGGCTGTCAGTTCTCCAGTGAGCCACTGGAAAAAAGCAGCACTCCACAACCTAAAGGGAGATCAGATGCAAGGAAAAGTCGCCTCCAAAGGTTCAGAATTCAGCAGAAGAGCGACAGTGCTGAGTCTGCTTGAGAAGGAAACAAAAATTGGGTGGAAATCCTGTCTGTAGGGGAAGCTCTGTTCTCCTTTCCCCTTTTGCCATAATCTCTGACCAGGCCTGAGTTTGACCATATTTTTTTCCTCCTAAATAAAGTTCTTTTGCAGACAATTAATTGTAGCAAGCCAATTTTTGTCAAATCCCCAGTAATTATCCATAATAAATATCCATAATAAATATCCATTAAAAATACCCATAATAAATGTCTATAAAAATGCATCAAAATGCTCAAAACAGAACCCACATTTCCCATCTCAAGCAGCAAAACCTTCAGCAGAAGCAGAACCAGAAATAGGAACCGCTGGTATTGCAGCTCCATTTTCCTCCTGATGAGGAAACCATGATGTGGGATGGGGTTGAAAAATAGCAGCAGTTTCTTGCAGGTTTTTTATTGGGATTTGGGGTTTTCTTACCCTATTCCTGCAGATTTACTGGGGATAGGCAGGATTTATTTCAGTAGATTTCTGGGGGTGACTTTGGTGGGGTTTTTTGGTTTTTTGTTTGTTTGGTTGGTTTGGTTTGTTTTTTCTATTTTTCTTTTTTTTTTTCCCCCACACTATCTTTAGAAAGGATAAAACCATTTCCTATTTTTGGTCTACAACTCCTCCTTTTCCCCCCACAGTCCACAGGAGTAACCAAAGGAAGCAGCAAATTAGAGGAGCACAAGCTGAGGAAAAGCATTTGACCTGCTCTAGGCTGTGAGAAGAGCTTCACTCGTGCTCATTTTCAAGCTAACCACAGAGAAGTGAAATAAAATGCTGCTGTCAGTGAGGTGAGGTCCATCATGGGTGAGGTCAAACCATCCTGTGAAGGACAAAACCCCAGGCAGAAATGATTTGTTCCTCTGTGGGAAAGACATTTGATGTCTGATTCCATCTGTCTGATGCAGCAAGCTCAGCTTTGAGTATCTTTATATTTTAATATATTTGTATTTTAATATTGCTTTTGGATCTTGGATATCTACACCCAGAAGTGAATAAATACTTGATTCTGGTACCCAAGAGCCTACCTGGAGACTACCTAAATTTTTTTCATTTTAAATTTCCACTACTGCTTCCTCCATTCCAAGAAAGGAGGGTTTCCATCTGACTGCACAGCAGTACCTCATCCTCATCAGTGATTTTTAATTAATAAAAATGATGAAAAAAGAGAGATGTGGATGGGATCCAAGGGTTGGCTCTGGATTGGAAAGCAATAAACTGGAGTTCTGCTTAAAGGAGTTGAATGAAGGGTTTCCTGGGAGTTCTGTAGCAGCTGATCTGAATTCTGCACTTGTTGATGTTCTCTGACACTTTCAGATTCACCTTAAATCACAAAAGAACTCCTGGATTTAATAAGACCAAATAAACTCAGATGTGGTGGGGTTTTCTATTTTTTGCATATTTTTGTGACAGCTTTTTGTACAATTCTCACAGTTACTGAAAGTAAAGCAAGGAAAAAGGGGGAAATCCAGGCCAACCAAGGCTGTTCTTGCTAAAATCAGCAGCAGCTTGAAATCTCAGCAGAACTTCCAAGGCTCATTCATGAAAGGAGTTTAATTCAGAGTTGTATTTGACCTGAAGGGGAAGCTGGGTCAGGGAAGTAATTAATGCTATTAATTGAGTTAAAGATACTTGACACCATCCCAAAATAGCCTGAATTGCCAGAGTCTGGTCTGTCCAAATATTTTTGTTGCTTTAGCTGATTAACGTTGTTCCTTGCCCATCACAACTTGATTCAGTTTCATTTTTGAGTTGGGGTAGCTGTGAGATCAGGAGTGTTTAAAATGAGAGATATATCTCTGCCAAAATCTCTGCAATAAACCCTGTTCTGCTTGAACACAGGGGAAAGAAATGAGTTGGACAAGATGATCCCCAGGAGTCCCTTCCAGCCCTAATTATTCCATGATTCTGTGATTAGAGGGTATTTTGAGCAACTTTATGTTTGGTTGTATTGTAATTTTTCAAGGTTATTTCTTACAGGTTTCCACCTCAGAGAAGTCAATGCCTTTCTTCAAAGAATTTCTATCCCTGACCATCTGCACAGTGAAATAATGCAGGTGATGGGAGACATTTTCAAATTCAGAATTGTTATCAAGTAAAGCAGAATTATTACTCTGTAAGGTAAAGACATTCATGCTGAGAAAGGACAACCTTCAAATTTTATGGGAATAGATGGTGTTTATTTTAATTTCTGTGTTAAAATTATCAAAAATGATTGTGGAGGGGAGGTTTCAATCTGACTTCAGCCATGACTTACCTGAGAAATTCCACTTAAATACCTCTGATAAAACATGAGGGTAAACTGTGCCAGTATTGAAGGAGGAGCTATCACTGTGCTGCTCTAATAGTGATTCTGGTGAGTGCATTTTTTTCAGTAAAGCTTTCATAATATTTCCTAATATTTCATAATATTCCTTATCCAGTGCTGATGGAAATGGGAAGAAGGAACATGGGGAATACCATAAATATAATGATTGTTACACTTCACTGCCTCTGACTTCCTGTGTTTCCTAAACTGATGCCTTAGGATTTCAGTTTTTGTATTTTTCAGATCCTGTGCTGCATTAGTGCAAATTCCATATAGAGTGTGAGTTACTGTCTTCACGTTTTGGTCAGACTAAACAATCCCTCTAAGCCTGAGATCCAAGGACACTTTACAGCCTCAGGCCCCAAAAAGTATAAACAAAAGTGAGTTCTGGGGGAGCAAACTGGGGGTAAATGACTTCATTACCTGAAGCTGTAATTGGAGGATTAACCCCTGATATGTAAATGGACCAAACTTTTAATTGTGTGAAAAACTCGTGACCATCATCCATCATGGGTGTAACTGCCCAAGGTGGATCTGTTGAAGGGTTTAATAAACACCCACTTTATTCTCTTAATCTTGTCTAGCCTTTGTTGTCCAAGGCATCCAACCCGATTTTCAAACCGCGAACGCGAATCCTTCGCGGCCGTCGCGCGGCCGAGCGTTTCCTCTTGGCTCAGAACAACACCCACCTTCATAACCCTGGCCAAGGTTGTGCCTGATGATGTTCACTGGCTGCTCAGGAAGGTTTTTGGAGGGTGACTGGCTGCTGGGGACCAGCGAGTTGGCATAGTGCCACTGGCACTCGCCGTTGGTCTGCAGCGCGCCCAGGAAGAAGCGCGCCACCTCGCAGGGCGCCCCTTGGGCCTGCCCGAATTTTGCAGGCAGCATTTGCTTCTTGCCACTGAAGACGTGGGAATCCACAGGGAAGTGTCCATAGTGGTAGGAGAAGGGCAGGCTGTAGGGAGGGGCGTACAGGAGCTCGCTGCTCTCTGAATGGAAGTTCTGTTCCTGAAGGGCGGCGGCGGCGCTGGCGGCGGGGCTGGAGCGCCAGCTCCCCACCTGGCTGCACTCCAGTTTGTCTGCTTGGAACGAGCTGTATTGCTGGGGGGAGAAGAGCAGGGGAAGAGAGTTAAAGGAGGAACTTTGCTAGGAAGCTGTGGGCTGTTTGTTCCCACTGTTCACGTTCCCCGGGGATTCTTTCTTATCCCGACTGAGGCAGAGAGATGGGACTTCTGGTTGCTTAGAAAGTGCAGTTTATTTTCTTATCTTCTACAGAAAGCTTGAGTTCTTGGTACAGGTATTTAGAGTGTGACCAGAAGTCACAAGACTTATGGCTACAAGATCTTTTAAGGATTTATTAACCAATAAAACACTGTCAACAAAGATATTTATGTTTCTAATCCAGTACTAAGAAATTTCGTCTAATTACAGTGTGACTTTTCTCAGCCAATCCTGTTCTAACACATAGATCTGTTCTTAAGGCTAGTTTGTCACCTTTCGACCTACTTCATTCTTTCTATATCTTAAACTTTATAGCTCAACTTTTTTCTACTCAACATGTCTCTACTTTAAACTTTAAACCTGCGTTCTCACTTCTAGCACCTAAGCTTGGAAGCTTTTCCCAAGGCCTCAGTTCAAATGCTGTGTTCTTTTCTAGGCTTTGATTTACAGGCCCAATGTTCTGAGAATTTTTTGCATTCTGAAGTCCAGCAGGAAAGTACAGAACCTGTCAGACAGGCACCCAGAGCTGGACCTCACTGGCTCAAGGGATGGACTCAGTGGTGCTTTTAAAATTCCTCTCTTTACAACTTTGCCTTCACATGGGAACAAAAAAACCTGCTTGGATTTGATAATTTTGGCAGGTCAGTTTTACAGAACCCCAGGATTAATGTTGGCAAAGCCCTCCCAGCCCATGCAGTCCCAGCTGTGCCCCATGGCCACCTTGTCACCCTGAGTGCCACCTCCAGGTGCCACCTCCAGGGATGGGCACTCCAAACCTCCCTGGG